AAAAAAAAAAACAAAGAGCCTGTGCAAACTCTTCTGGTCTAAAAGTTAATTGTCAGATTGTCCACTGCTCGCTGTTGTCCCTTTCATTGATTTCTGTTTTGTTGTTATCTCTTGCATAATTAGCCCCTTCTTCTGTTCGCCATACAAACTGAAACATTATCTGTTCAACGTTTTATCATTGCACCTCAATACCTCAGCTTGTAATTGCAACATGACATAAATCTAGTCTAATTCAATCCTACGACTGCTGTCATCGCTTTCATTGATTTTTATTTTGTTGTTATGTGCTGCATAATTAGCCCTTCTTAAGACAAACTGAAACTCCGTTCAACGTTTACTCATGGCCTTTCATTACCTCTGCTTAGAATTGCAACATGACCTAAGTTGACGAATTCATATTTTGCCTTTTCTTCTTAAACATCATCTATCAATTGATTACTGAATTAGGCAGAAAGAAACATATATAGAATAGAATAATTTTTTCTTTTTAATCTTTAACATTTTATATTTTAATTCACATTATTTATATCTCATATGATTTAACATTAAAATTTTTAATACTATTATAACTTATTTATGTTGTTGATACAAAACCAAGGGTTAAATAATTTAGAATTTTTTTTAAAGAATTCTCCATTTTAACCATTGTGGTTTATTGTTGCTAGTTGAGTTCAACTTCTTTTTTTTTGGTTTTTCGTCTCGTATCCGGGCTTCGCCCCGACTAATTCGGACCCGACTCAGGTCGCGCACTTGAAAATGGTGGGTGAGTCTTCCAACGAAGACTGCTGCGTACGCAAAGACTTGAACTCGAAATCTTACTTAAGCTGAAACAAGTCGCTTACCACTTGATCCAACCTCTCGTTAGTTAGTCGAGTTCAACTTGCCAACGGTGTATTAAGGAGTGAGAAAAGGTTAATTGACTTGGATACTGCAACCAAAACAGAAAGAGGGTTATATTGTGTGTGTGTGTATATATATATGTATGTATATATTTTAACAGTTTACAATAGGAGATATATGTATATATTTTAACAGTTTACAATAAGAAAAGGGGATTTTTCAAGATATTGGTGAGATTTAAAATCTCAATCAACTAATCTAAGCACTTTAAGGTTTGAGAGTAAAGCACTTAGTCTCAAACGGTTGGTGCAAATTCTATTGTATTAAGTAGAGAAAACAAATCAATCAACATATTTATACAATAAACAGAACAATAAACGCAATTACGGTAGTTATGGTAGCTATAATTCGTTGAGCGCCTTAATTTAATACTTTTATTTTAGTTTAATATAATTTATTAATTTTTTACTAATAGTTTCATTTTATTTAATTAAATTGACTTTTAATTATATTTTTTTTGTAAATTTTTATTATTTACAAATAATTTTGAGATAAAAATAATTTTGTGATGATGATCCATTCTTTTATATTGTTTAAGAAACTATAATTTTTATCATATGTTACTTTAGTTTTCCTTTTTAATAATTTTCTTTAATAAAAATTATAATTATTGATGTATTTTAATAGCTAACAAGGTCTATTCTTTATTGTTGATTACTTTGTTGACTGGATTATTTAATTTTAATTTTAATTTGACTTTTATGATATTTATTTAAAAAAACTAATAAAATTTTTATAAAATAAATTATTTTAAAATATTTTATAAAATTTATAGTTTATTTAAAAAATTAATTTTTTAAATTAAAATAAAATTAGATTTATAATTAATAAATCAATTATTGAATGAAGCCTACGTAGAACGGTAGAATAATCAAATTCTAGAATTGTCCTCACTCCAGAAGGGCAAATTTTCAAACAAGTACGACCAAAAGTCTGAAAGGTATTTCTAAAATCAAAAAGCTGTGCACGCACGTGCAAAAATTGGACTAGCAACGTGAATCACAGTCTTCTTATGTAAGCGTGACTCAATTACTTAAGATTTAAGAGTGTCAAATTTAAAAGTTTTATGTTTAAATATTAAGTTGGATGGAGAGATTTTTTTAAAAAATATAGAGTTATTTTTTTTATATAGTTGATTTATTTAAAAAAATCCACAGACTTACTTGACATTATATGTTTTTCTTTTAATATTCATTGATAAGGTGCTTTTTTACCTAATTTTATATCTAGAAATTAATTTTTTTAAGATAATTTTATGAATACATCTTTTATATGAGTTGATGCATCACAATAAATTAATTTCTTTATATACTGATCTCAAGACTTAAATTTAAAAGTTAACTTATAAGATGGTATTTGTTTATCAATAACATTATATGTTTTTTTAAGATACTTTGATAAGAGTTTCATATATTTTAATTTAAGCTATATAATAAAAATGTAATTTTAATGCTAAAATTACTAAATTATTATTAATATATAAATATTCACAAAATTCATTAATAACATTTTAATAATTTTAATATCAAACTCAACTTTTTATATATATCTAACTTAAAAATATTTTTTTATTGATAACTTAGGTATTAAAGTTTTTAATCCAATTAATTTCATGTGTACTTATAACTCATCTCTTTCTCAGAAACTAGTTAGAAAGGTGTTGTCATGGACCTGTGGCCATCCGTCACTTTATTAAAGTCTTCGTAAGTTGGACTGTTTAATTTATTTATTAAAAATAATTTAATAATTAATAAAATAATTAATATTTATTATTTAATAAATTAAAATAAATTTATAAATAAATATTTTTAAAAATTGTAACAAATTATATTTTTTAAAAATTATAGATTAATAAAAAAAATGATTGTCAGTCTTAGCTCTTAAAGATTAAGAAATAAATTATTTTAAAATTACGTCATTTCAATAAATTTATATTAAAAAAAGTTAAATTACCATATTTTTAAAACATATATTAAAGTATTTTTTTTTTTAATTTTTTAAAAATAAGATAGATAAATACTAACTCTTAATAAAATATTACTCAATATAAATATATTCCTCGGACAGAACTGG